CTTTTCCCATTTGTTTGATCTCTTTGGGATATAGCCCTAGAAGTGCTATTGCTGGATCAAAGGGTATGCACATTTTTGTAGCCCTTTGGGCATAGTTCCAAATTGTTCTCCAAAATGGTTGGATCATTTCACAACTCCACCAACAATGTATTAGCGTTCCAATTTTCCCACATCCTCTCCAACATGTATCATTTTCCTGTTTTGTCATGTTGGTCCAGGTCTCTTTCTTAAGGAACTAGTTGTTTGTGGAATGTTTGGGGCACTTTCTGATTGGTTGATCCACAAGATCTTGGAAGTCCTCAGAATCCCCTTGTTCTGTTGTGGAAGCCTAGCTCCTAACTAATCCTTTCTCACAAAGTGAAGCAGAAGGGGTTGTAATAAGTTCCAAGTAATAGAAGAACTACTTACTTTTTAACTTTGGATTTGGTGAAACATTCCTGCAGTGGGGCTTTGGGTTTGTTACTGTTCTTCTTCTGTAGTTCTACTATATGCAGATGCATATAAATATGGATATAAATGCAACTATGAGAAATGTAGAACATACCTAAGATAAATACATAGTAATTAGGGGGAGGCATGGCCACACATACCTTGAATCATCCTAACTTTCTCCTTCAAAAAGAAACTATATGAGGGTAATGATAATTAGAAACATCTACAAAGTTGGCTTACAATTCTTGACCACCACTTAAGAGCTAAAATCCTAAACTCTGTTTCAGAGATGTATGACTCTTTATCTGCAAATCCCTTTCTATTAATAATGAACCAATAAATTAGAGTTCTAATGCATTGCAGTGGTGTCTTTATTTTTTTATTTTTTTTATTTTATTCTGAACTTAAGAAATAAAACAAGCATCTGATTATATATTTGTGTAAGATGATTGTATATGAAACTGCAAATCTGTTATGTACAACTTGCTATTTCTTTTAAATATATAATAAAGTTATTGTGTAACTTTCTTTTTTTCCTTTTTTTCCTTCCTCCCTGCCCCCTGCCCCCTGCCCCACATGGCTACCATTAGACACAAATATGTATACACACATACATACATACAATATGTAAAATTATTCTACACACACTTCTATTTATCAGTTCTTTATCTGATGCAGATAGCATTTTCATTCATATGTCCATATGAATATGTTCATACTGTTGTCTTTAGATGGCTCAGAGAAATTCATTTATTCATTCAATAAGCATTAACCACCTACTATTTGTCACAGCCTAGGTTCCAGGGATGCAAATCAAAAGTGAAATAATCCTTGCCCTTGTAGACTGGGGTACTTCCCATGGAGATACGGATATTCTCTGGCCCCTTTCTGTAGGACAAGTGATCTGGCTCTATGTTAAAGGACATGGATGTTCCTGATTGATCTCTTGATCCCATAAAATCATTGAAGAAGATTGATGACTAAGCCAGGAACAATGCCTACTCAGTAGGCTTAAAGAAACTAAGGAGAATGACAAATGTTGGAAGGGTTGTGGGAAAAATGAGACATTAATGCATTGTTGGTGAAGTTGCAAACTGATTTAACCTCAAAAAGCTACAAAACCACACATACCCTTTGACCTAGCATTACCACTAATAGATCTGTATTTCAAAAGAGATAAAAAACAAAAAGGGAAAGGACTTATATGTACAAAAATATTTATAGCAGCTTCTATATTAGCGCAGCTTCAGGCTCACCCCTAGTCCATGGTGCTCCATTTCTCATGTACATAGCTGCAGACCACAACCTCTGTCCTCTTTGCTGAAACAATTCTGCACAGGCCTTTTGGGACAGACTACCTCTCTGGTGCCAAGACCTGTGGCTGCCTCTTTGGGAAGATCTGTGGTGGGAAAAAGTTTCTGTAATTTATTCTTGAATTTCCCCATCACCACTTGGTATGGTATTCTTTTCTAGAAGAGTCATTTGAAAAAGCCAAGCTGTATTTCTCCTTCTCACTCTGCCATCTAAATGGTTTTTTGCAATAATATCTTATACAAATCACCTGCAAACACACATTTGAATTTTTTTTTATATCAGGGCTTCTTAAAATTTTTCCACTCACAACCCCTTTTCTCCTTAGAAACTTTTATGCAACCCCGGGTTATGGGTATATAAAATAGGTATACAAATCAAACATTTACTGATAATAAATCATGAAGAAACTCATTTTAAACAATTCTTTTGTATACATGTAATTTTGCCATTTATTAAAGATAAAAGCAAATTTGCATACTAATGGGATGGATGTGCTTATTTATTTTTACCTAAATAATTAAATCTTGGTGGAATATCTGACAATTCAAGACATAGAGCATCTTCAACATTTTTTAGAGTTGATCGATATTTTGATTTTATAATCGTCAATGTTGAGAATGCCACTTCACGTAAATATGTAATATAAAATGGCAGAAGTGTATTTAGGGCCATTTCAGAAATTGTTGGAAATTCTGTCCCAATCCCAAGCCAAAATTCATTTGACAATTTTTTTTTTAGGAAACTCATGTTTTAAACCTGTGTCACCTGATAACTCAGCAGGGTTAAGCACCTTTTCTCATATTCTTTGCATATTTTATGTTCCCATCCCAGGACCCTAGGTTAAAAAATTTTTTTTAATTGTTTAAAATGTTGGCTTAGTTCACTTGCAGTCTCTCTAAAGAAGGAAGTAGGAAGGTATCTAAATATACAATGTAAACCAAGAATGGGACAGATATGCATTTCTTCTACACAAAAGAAGTGCTTAACACAAAAGGCTCTCTTAGGCACTTACTGACAGAAAAACTTTTTTTTTAAATGTGCCAGTATTTACTAATGTTATACACTCCCAGAAGGGGGAGACTTAAATATTAGAACATGAAGAAGTTTTGCTTTACTTTATATTGTTCCCACTCAGAGTAAATGTCCTCTACAAAACTAGAGACTGAGCTCATCCTATGGCCACTGGCCATCTTCGCTAAGAGCAGAAACTCTCCCTGTCACCTGATAGTTCCAAAGGACTCAGGATTTCCAATCTCTTAAATTCATGAGATGGCCTCCAAGAATGGCTTTGTCTCAGGATCAATCTCAAGGTCAATACTTGTTCACCTATACTCAGGAAAAGAAACACAAAATGGAAAAGGCAACAGGGTCCCAGCATGACCTTGCCAAGTTGAGTACCCCTGCTCTAAGCTGCCACAGAGGAGCAGTCATCACACAGCCAGAGTGGAGAAAAGTCACCCCTTTTCCACCCTTCATGGGGAGCCACAGAGTTATGTGATGCTACTTGGAGAGTCAACAGAAGAGAGAGAGAGAGAGACAGGATTGCTTTGTCATCCCCAAAGCACCTTAGTCCATCAAAACTGAGTCATACATGATTGGCTAGAAGCAGTCAGGGGCTTTGTCATGCCTAAAGCACTTAAGAGTTGAGGCAGCACACGTGTGTGGTTATCTGGAAGCAGGCAGGGCAATCCTATGTGTGGCCTATTACACTGGCACCCCCCAAACTCTCTAGTACAGGACCTTATGTGTAGAAGATGCTTAATAAATATTTGTTGAATGAATGAATACAGTTGAATATGGCCTTTGGGGAAATTTGGGAAATCTGTTCTAACATGTTTGCCTAGTATTTACCCTTCCAGATAAAGTTTAATCTTTTTAAGAAAGGTCAACACCATCATTCTGTCCAAGAAGAAATTTACAATCGATAAACTGTCATAAAGCCTGTGTTTCTCACATTCTGGTACCCAACCCACACTACCTCCACTGGGGGGGAGGGGGGCAGGGCTTACAGTTGCTGCTTATCTAATGCCTATTGTAACCAGAGAACAATGGATCCTGCTAATATGTGGAATGAGTAAGCAGTTTTCTTTAGCAATGTCTGGGCAGAAGATGGGGCTCTTACCTTTTGGAACTGTCTTAGTAGACTCAGTCCTTATCCCTATCTTCCGGGCTCTGAGAGTTCTCCATCATATTCCTTTATTGAAGATTCATTGTCCAAATTAAAACCCAAGGAAGGAAGCTCATTTCCACTTGTTATCAGAAAGAAGTCCCAGTGTTTCCTGAACTACAATTCAGAATCAAGATTATGTTCTGCTTGATTTCTTCTGTGCCACTGATTGTCTTTGCCATTGGCTACTTTTATCGAGGTGCTTATCTATAGCTTTGATATAGCTGCCTTCTTGTTTCATCACTACTTCCTTGAACAATTTCACCTAAAAATTTGTTTTCAGGACAGTGTAATAGCTTTGGAGTCAGAGGACCTAAATTCAAATCTCAACTGTTCCCCAACCTGACCTTCAGTTTCTTCATCTGTAAAATGAGGGAGTTGGAAAAGAAATAAAACTGAACCCTGCATAATTATGACAAACTTTGGTTCCAAAAGAAAGATGAGAAAGTGTACCTCTTTCCCTTTTATAGAAGGAGTTGTGGACGTAGAATATTCTATATGCTTTTAGACTGATTGATTAGTTTGAACTGGACTGCTTCTTCCCTCTCTTTCTTTTATTATTTGTTATAAGTTATGTCTGTGTGTGCATGTGTGTGAATATAGTTGGAAATGAAGGTGATGTAAAAATAAAAGATACCAATGTAGCCTTTAAGTCAAGGGGAGGGGACTTTTGACTCTAAGTCCTAAGAATCTTAGAGTTAAAAGAGACCTCAGAGGTTCTCTTACCTGAAGCATCAATACCCTCATTTTTATTGGGCCATTCACACAAGGGCATCCTTTCTCTGATCTCATTCCTCTCTTTTTCTGTGTTTCCAGAATTCTCTGTCTCTCTCCTCCCCATCAGTCCACCTGTCTCCAATTTCAAAGCCCTGGCTAAAATTTCTTACAACCATAAAGCCCTTCATGGATCATAGTAGACCTTTCTACTAATAGTTAAGAAGAAACTACAAACTCCAGCAATATTTATCATTTTAGCTACTATGTTTGCTTTGGTGTGTCTCTCATATGATTTTCTAGCTTCTGAAGTACTCTTTACTGTGCTGAAACTTTTCTAGCTGAAAGTCTCATAGGCAGAAAAAAAACTTACCTTTCTTGGCATCTGTTTCCATAAAATGTACGATCCCAGTAGGCTAAGGTGAAAGTGAGAAGAACAGAAAGCTGAGGAGAAGACAATCTTTTAGAACGATATGGTAAGAACATATACGTAGGATATGGTAAGAATACTAGAGTTGGAGTCAGAAATCATGGGTCTGAAATCTCAGGTCTGATCAGCTGCAAATTTCTGAACCTCAGTTCCCTTGTGCGTCATATGGGGGAAAGAAAAGGAATAAGTATTTACTTATGCCTACTTTGTGCCAGGCATACTGCTAAGTGCTTTACAAATATTATTTTATTTGATTAGCATTACAACCCTGGGAGGTAGGTGCTATTATTATCCTCATTTTACAGTCAAGGAGAACAGGAAGACAGAGGTTAAGTGACTTGCCCAGGATCACACTGCTAGTAAGTGCCTGGGGCTGGATTTGAACTTGCAGGGTTTTTTTGCCTCCAGGCCCTTTATCTACTTCACCACCAAGCTGCCTCAAATGGGGAAAGTATACTACTTACCTTATTAAGTTCCACTTTTCAAACTATTAAAAGTGTTATAGAAATGTGAGATATTATTCTTTTTTAGCAATAGAATATAAGCTCCTTGAGGGCAGGGGTTTTCACTATTATCTTTTATCTCTAGGGCCAGTGATAATGCCTGCTATACAATACACACTTACACCTTAAAGTCCTATATAGATGTGAGTTATTATTGTTGTTGTTATTGTTATTATTATTATTATTATTATTATTGGATGAGTATATATTTACATAACCCACCTCTCTGGTTTATCATCATGAGAAAAGTGCTTACCCTGAAAGCACTATAGAAATGTGAATTATTAATTTTAAAGTTCATTATGAAAGTGTGACATGGATGCAGGTGACATTTGATGTATTGGAGTAGCAGCAGCCCACACCAGCTCATGCACTGTCTTCTTTAAACCTACAGAAAGACAGGATATCACTTTGCTAAATAACAGACAAGGGAGCATAACAAATAATTTGCCTACCAGCTGGTGCAAGACTTAGTGAGAAATAAACCTTAGCTAAGGTGTTGCTACAAAATGTTGATATTAAAAATGTGTTCAGAAACATAACAAATTAGAGAAATCATCTTAACTCTTCACCTGTCCCATATTTGAGAAATCTAGTTCAATTTCAACCTTCTACATTTATAATACATAAACAATCAACTCTGTATAGTCACATAGTTTTTTTGACATGCCAAAAATGTGAGGCAAAAGTTTCAGCATGTCTACATGGATGCTCCACCCAACCATATTCTTAAATCTCCTCCCACACCAGTAGGTCATAGAAAGGATATGAGGGGGAGGGAAGATGGTGCTGTTCTCCAGGGCCCAGTTCTGGGTCCTAGACTAAGACTGTGAAAGCAAGGAAGAAATTAGGAAATTATTGGCAGGTGACCCCACCTCTCTAACTTCTCACCAACTAGCTTGACACGTAGTCCAGACTCACCTCTGCATTTGTCCTGGACTGGTTGCACCAGAACCTGAGAATCCCCACAAGGCTGATGCTTGATTTGGTTCCTGGTTTGTCCCTGGTAGGTATCACCTCCTCAATGCTGATCTCCAGTTTTTGTCTTAATTCTACTGCTATTTATTCTTGGTCTGGGCTTCAGTGACAGCAGGCATTGACCACTGCTGACATATATATGATGCTCCCAGAGTCCTCCATCTCTCTGTTCCCTTTGCCTAAAAGGAAGGGCTAACAGAAAGTCTCTCTGAAGAGTAAAGAAAAAGAAGGAGGAAGGGAAGGCAACCTAATCACACAAAGTCTTGTCTATCACTTCTTCCATCCTCTCATGGCTTATTCCCAGTAAAAAAGGGGGGAAATATGGTTATCATAAGTGGCCCTCTATTGTTCCTTCTTATCTTCCTCAAACTACAATTACTCCTGGCTCTGGGGCAAAATAATAATTTGAGTGAGATAAGAAGGTGAGCACAGCTTACAAAAGAAAGAGAAGACCATAAAAAACAAAGGAAAAGAAAGAGAAGGAAGTTCTCAGGGGAAACACAACCAAATTGTAACAAGGCTCACCTCAAGTATTCAAATGTGAGCAGATACTTTTATTATGATAATCCAATTTGCAAACCAGTAAGAACTAATGATGCGTTGTAGCTAAAGCAAACTGCATTTGAAGGAAAAAATTGAGGGTAGGAATCTCAGAAGTCATCACAATAACAAATGCTGAACAGGAAGAACCAGAAAAGCAGTTTATGGAGGCTGGTCTTGTAACTCTGGAGGAAAATGCCTAGGAGGGCAATAAAGTTTGAAAGTAAAGGTGACTAGGGAAAATAAGAATCAGACAACAGCTGGCAAAGACCCCGGGAGCCTGTTACACATAGAGGCAGAGGAAACCCATGAGAGGAGATCAAATTCTCCTGAATCCTTGGCTGAGAGCTAGTGATCTGGCTTTGGTCTTGAATCACATAAATAAGTAAAAAATAAAGCAAGCCTTTTTTGAGTGGGTAGGTTTTACCCAAACCCTAGCCAACTGTCCTACTAGAGCTGTTGATATTCTACTTTGTACCTAGGTATGAACTCATTGTTATCATTCTGCTCATATCATTCTCTCCACTTCTATGTTCTCCTTCTCTCTAGGAGAATCCTCTAATGAGTCATTAGTTAAAAATTGAATTGACTCCCCCGACTGATAGAAATCGGGTGCTGTTGAAATCATTTGGAGAGAGAAACTTTGTGTTATTTCTTAGTCATCACATGGTTTTCCTTACTGCAAACTCCCGTTTGTTAGCCACAGGTAAGAAAAATTTTTTGAATGTGATAAACTCTCATTTGTTGTTGTGATTCAGTCATGTCTGACTCTTCATGACCCTATGGATCATAGCATGGCAGGCCCTTCTATCTTCCACTGTCTCTTGAAGTCTGTCCAAGTTCGTGTTCATTTCTCCCATGATGCTATCTATCCACCTCATCCTCTGCTTTCTGCTTCTCTTTTTGCCTTCAATCTTTCCCAGCATCAGAGTCTTTTCCAATGAATCCTGTCTTCTTATTATGTGGCCAAAGTATTGAAGCTTTAGCTTTAGTATTTGTTCTTCCAACGAATTTTGTCATTCTATAATTTCACTTATTTCTGACCCTTTGTGACACCATTTGGGGTTTTCTTGGCAAAGACACTGGAGTGATTTGCTATTTCTTCTCCAGCTTATTTACAGATGAAGAACTGAGGCAAAGAGGGTTAAGTGACTTGCCCAGGGTCACACAACTAGTAAGTGTCTGGGGCCAGATTTGAACTCATGAAGATGAGTCTTCCTGACTTCAGGCTTGGCACTCTATCCACTGTGCCACCTAGCTGCCCTTTCCAATGAATAGTCAGAGTTTATTTCTTTAAATATTGACTGATTTGATCTTCCTCCTGTCCAGGGAATTCTCAAGAGTGTTCCCCAGCACCTATAGCATTAATTCTGTGATGCTCAGCTTTCCTTATAGTCCAACTCTTATAGACATATTTTACCAATGAAAAAACCATAGCTTTGACTATATGGACTTTCATTGGCAAGGTGATGTCTCTGCTTTGTCCAGATTTGCCATAGCTTTCCTTCCAAGGAGCAGAGTCTTTTAATTTCGTGGCTGCAGTCACCATCTGTAGTGATCCTTGAGTCTAAGAATATAAAATCTGACACTGCTTCCATTTCTTCTCCCTCTCTTTGCCAGGAAGTAATGGGACCAGTTGCCAAGATCTTAGTTTTTGGATGTTAAACTTCAAGCCAGCTTTGACACTCTCTTCTTTCACCCTCATCAAGAGACTTCTTAATTCTTCACTTTCTGCTATCAGAGTGGTATCATCTGCATATCTGAGATTGTTGTTATTTCTCCCAGCAACCTTAATTCTGGCTTTTGATTCATACAGCCGGACATTTTTCATGATGTACTCTGCATATAAGTTAAATAAACAAGGTGACAATATACAGTCTTGTTATACTCCTTTCCCTCTCTTGAACCAATCAGTTGTTCCGTATTTGGTTCTAACGCTGCTTCTTGACTCACACACAAGTTCCTCAGGAAACAAATAAGATGATCAAGTACTCCCATTTCTTTCAAGACTTGCCACGATTTGTTGTGATACACACAGTCAAAGGCTTTAGTGTAGTCTGTGAAGCAAAAGTAGATGTGTTTCTAGAACTCCCTTGCTTTCTCCATAATCCAGCAAATGCTGGAATTTTGGTCTCTATTTCCTCTGCCTCTTCACAAGTCAGTCTGCACTTCTGGTAATTCTCAATTCACGTATTGCTGAAGACCAGCTTGCAAAATCTTAAGCATAGCCTTGCTGGCATGTGAAATGAGCACAATTGTTCAGTAGTTTGAACATTCTTTGGCATTGCCCTTTAGGATTGGGACATAACCTGACCTTTTCCAATCCAGTGGCCACTGCTGAATTTTCTAAATTTGCTGGCATACCGAATGCAACAGTTTAACAGGATCATCTTTTAGGATTCTAAATAATTCATCTGGAATTCCATCATCTCCACTAGCATCATTAGCAATGCTTCCTAAGGTTCTCTTAACTTCACTCTCCAGGATGTATGGCTCTAGGTCAGTAACCACACCATCATGGTTATCAAAATCTTTCTTACATAGTTCTTCTGTATATTTTTGCCACCTCTTCTTTTTTTTCTTAATAGTATTTTTTCTAATTACATGTAAAGATAGTTTTCAACACTCATTTATGTAAGATTTCGAATTTCAAATTTTTCTCTCTCTCCCTTCCCTCCCCAAGACAGCAAGCAATCTGATATAGGTTATACATATACAATCCTGTTAAGCATATCTCCATATTAGTCATGTTATGAAAGAAGAGTCGGAACAAAAGGGGAAAACCATGAAAAATAAAAAAACAAAAAAGTGAAAATAATACGCTTCACTCTGCATTCAGACTCCATAGTTCTTTCTGTGGATGTGGTTGGCATTTTCCATTATGAGTCTTTTGGAATTGTATTGGATCATTGTATTGCTGAGAAGAGCTAAGTCCATCATAGCTGATCATCACACAATGTTGCTGTTACTCTATACAATGTTCTCCTGTTCTGCTCACTTCACTCAGCATCAATTTATGTAAGTCTTTCCAGGTTTTTCTGAAATCTGCCTGCTCGTCATTTTTTTAATAGAACAACAGTATTCCATTGCATTCATATACCACAA